CACCCCCAGCACCAGCACAGCTGCACTGGGGCCATGGAGCCAGCCAAGGGCTCTCTGCAGCCACAGCCCAGTRTTTCAGTTGCCTTGTGACCCCTTCCCAACCGCACCTGACACAGGTCCCACTTCTCTGCTCTTCTGGAGCTTTGCTGAGGGAAAACAATATTTCTTTTGCCCAGACAGCCACCACTGCTGCTGAGCCCCCTCTCAGCCCAGCAACCACACCTCCAATGGCTCTACAGACACAGCAGAGCACGGAGCAGGGAAGGCACTGCACTAGGACTGTGAAGGATTAAACTATGTTTAAAAATTAAAACATTGTTATAAGGTAGTTCAGAAAATGTCACCAAGGTCCACTTTCAATACACACACATACAGACATGTTCTGCACAGCTTCAGTGACTGTCCTGATTTGGTGGGGTTTCCTCCCCCAAGGATATTTCCATGCCATATTTTACAGTAACCTTTTAATTGCTCATAAAATGCTCGTAAACACCTGAAGGGGAGCAGTTACTGACCCAGGTTCTCTCCCCATAGTCCCTCACCCTTGTCTGGCTCTACAAAGACCAAAGATATCAACTTTGTGCAGTGATAGTCCACCACTAATATTTAAATTTGATATTGCTTTATATTCCATTATTCAGATACCAGAAACACTCCAGGTATGAAAGACAGTAACAGTGTGACATGATTAAGCAACAGCTCCTTGTTTGACCTCTCATGGGGTGCAGCTATCAGATAGGGGCAGGAACCTAAAACACTCAGATGATCTAAAGATTTTTTTTTAATTAATATTTAGAGTACAGAGTTGTGTATTTTYTGAGAACAGTAACTCTGGAAACAAAAGGAAAAATTAAGAAGTATATATACCTCAAAATAATCTCAAGTAAGAAAAAGATCAAGAAAACAAGCAAAAGGCCAAGCAGAGGACAACTGGTGACAGAAATAAAAATTCTAAATGAGCAGCAATCAAGCAGCTCTACTCCCATATAGCCTGCAACAACATCCAGCCTCCACTAAAAGCCAGAGTAAACGGAGCAATTARGAACAAAGAAACCACAAATTGACAGATTTTACAATTCTTATGCACACAGAGAAATAAYGTGTATGTGATGCATTCACTGTGTGTAATGTACTGGGTCCCTCACCCACTGCCTACAAACCTTCAATTTCAAATAGAAGAGTCCATCCCTCACATCATAACCATTCCCTTTTGTTCCTCCATACGTTAGTCCCTCTCCAGCATCWCATCCCATCCCATTATGCAGTACAGAAGCACACAATGTCAGTGCACTTCTCCAGGTAACCAGTCTGTATTGTCACTCCAATGTCACTGTGGAGTCCTTGACTGTCAGGGCCCACTGGSCAATTCCTCAATTCTCTGCCTCTCATCCTACAGCACAGTGAAAATGCCCGAGGAATGCTGGAGACTGCCTGGAGGTGGCAGGGAAAGTGCAGGAGCGGGAGTCATGCTCCAGTCTAGAGGCTTTTGGTGAGGTTTGACYAGTGATTGTAACAAGGGACAAAGAAAGTTGTGAAGAAGTTCCAAAAGCCTAGTACTTAAAGACAGCAGCTGAGCAGACCTAAGGCCTATGTGAAACACTTCCACATGCCTTGGTTGTACTTCATGGGAGTACCTAAGGCTGGCAAGGCACTGACAAGCAGCTTCCCTTGGTGAGACCCACTGACCCCTCGCTGTGCCTGCACCATCAGCACCAGCTGTGTTCAGGCACCACAGAGCACAGGACCAGCACAAATACAACACCACTCTGCAGCCAGGATGAATTACAGAACACACAAAACACATGACATGACCTGGATCTATGGTGACTCCATCCCAATCCCACTGCAATCACCCCATATGTGACCGATTGCCCCCGGCCCAGAGCACTGAGTGCCACGCTCAGTCCCTCCTTGAACATCTCCAGGGATGGGGGCTCCACCACCTCCCCGGACAGCCCATTCTACTGTCTGACCACCCCTTTTTTTTTTTTTCATTAGGAAATACATCCTGCTGTCCAACCTGAACCTCCCGTGGCACAACTTGAGGCAGTTTCCTCTCACCCTGTCCCCACTCCCTGGGCGCAGGGCCCGACCCCCCCCACCCCGGCTGTCCCCTCCTGTCAGGGAGTGGTGCAGGGGGAGAGGTTCCCCCGGAGCCTCCTTTGCTCCAGGCTGAGCCCGCCCCACAGCTGCTCCTCATCAGACTYGCGCTCCAGACCCTTCTGCAGCTCCGCTGCACGCTGTGGGAYAAAAGGCCCCGGCACCTCCCCGGGCCTGGGCTGTCCTGCACTCCGGGCGCGCCGGGCCCGGGCCGGGGCAGGGCCGTAGCGCCTCGGCCGGGCCCAGCCCGCGGGAATCGCTGCCCGCCCGCTCCRCACGCCCGCACTCACATGGGCTCCAACAGCTTGGCCAGCCAGGACTTGAGCGCGTCCACACTCTCGATGATCATGATTGCCCCGCGCCGCCCGCTCACAGCTACACCGCCGCCATCGCTGCGGCCTGCCCGGCACCGCCCGCAGCGCAGCCTGCTGGGCACGGCRGGGGCGGGGCCGCGCCGCCAGCACCAATCACACAGCGCCGGCCCGCGCCAACAACCAATAGCAGCCGTCCAGAGCCCGAGCCGAGGGTCACGGAGAACCAGCAAGTTCGGTGGAACGAGCACATGAACCCGCGGCGACATCTTGGGGGGAGCTCTTAAAGGGGCAGCGGTTCGGCTGCGCACACCTGGARTAGGCGCGCCAGGCTCATTTCCCCTTTCCGTGCCGGGACAAGTGGGCGCGGTGATCGCCCCGTTCTCTCTCTCCCGCCCTCCTTCTCTCCCCTCTCTTTACGATAAAAAGAGCTCGGTCTCCCCCCGCCCGGTGCCTTGGTACGGCCCGGTCTCCCCCGCGCAGCGCCGCTGTTGGTTCGGCCGGCGCGGAGCCCGGCAGGCGCGGCAATATGGCGGTGAGCTGAGGGGAAGGGACGGGGATTCGGGGCTTTGGGGCGCTGCGGGGGCTCTGCCCTTCCATAGGGCTCCTCACCGGCTCCTGGCGGTCACTGCGGCGCCGCGGCCTGCGGGAAGAGGGTCCTAAAGGGGCGTGTGCGGGGCTCTGCACGGCGGCTGCAGCCCCTTGATGGAAAAGTCTTAGGAGTCTCTTGAGTTTGGTAGAAAACAGCTAAATCCTCARCCTTTGKGAGCACAGAATCTGTGCTGCTTKTCTCCTTTAGCAATTCCTGTGCGTTATATGGTGAAAGAATAGGATGCTTTGACKYTTGCCATGTGTTATAAAGTAGTGAGGGGAAGGGCTATTTAACACCAATTTAATTAAAATCGCTTGGACTGCTTTACCTGAATAATTCCGTGAATTACAATTAGAGTTGTTACCAGACCCTCTTCCTGGCGTTGGGAATGCTATTCCCACTTTATGTACGTCAAGAGGAAGATCATATGGTTTCATAGAGACATTAAAACAGAATTCTATCGGTTTTTTTCACTTATGATTTATATCCTCTTCTACCTCCCTAACTCAGAYCTCTTTGAGTTTGTTCTTTATTGACAAGATGGTGTGTGTGTGGTTATGGAGAGTTCTTCTTAACCTCTTCTGCCAKACTTCTCTTCCTTACTCTGTTGGACAGGAACGTAAAGGAACAGCGAAAGTGGATTTCTTGAAGAAGATTGAAMGAGAGATCCAGCAGAAGTGGGACCATGAGCGAGTGTTTGAGATCAATGCTGCAGACAGGAAGGACCAGAGAAGGTGTCATTGTGTTTGGTTTTTTACATGTTTTATCTTTAACTGCTTAAAATGACTTTTCATTCAAAATCTGCATGGCCCCTTTTTAATGAGAGTATTCATGACTAGCTGGAGGGACTTACTCACACATTGTCGACATTTCTGTAACTGATGGCTTAAAGAATCTGAGTGTGTGGCCAAGTTCCAGTGGGATGAGAGAAGCTTTTTCATTCCTTGGCAGTGTTCTCTGTGGTTTTAAATCCTGGTTCTTTTTGGTGACTTGTGCTCTTTGACACGGAGGAGGTTGCTCAGTGTGATGCTTGAGCCCTCACCACCGGGGAGATTTCCCTTTGAGGGAAGGTGTGTCCTGTCTGCCTCTCTGAGAGAACGACAGAGCTACACAAAATCCTTGGTCCTGCTSTAGACCAACCTCGTGTACTTTTGTAGGAATGGAGGAAGGCCAGGTGTGTGACCATTACTGTTCCTCAGATGAGGGGCTGGGGTTTCTTTTCTTACATGAATTGTATCACACAGGTTTGTCCCACCACCTGGTTGGTTGTGGTGTTTCCTGGAGCAATCTGCCTTCTGTCTGTGCTGGGTTTGGTTAATGCTTTGCTTTGATAATGGCATTCTGTTCTGGTGGTCTGAGTTGCTGTCTGTTGGTTGTAGAAGGTGTTTATATCTTGGGTTACATTTCCTTCCACCTGGTTGATTCTGTGATTGTTCTGAGCTGTCTCAATGGGCTCTGAAGGAGTGGCCAGGTGTGGCTCCCAGGTGACACAGGAGCACTGCTGCAGTGCCTGGGCAGCTGTCCTGGCTGGGGCTCTGCCAGCCCTGTCCCCAGGGAGCTCCTGGGGGTTCTGGCTGYAGGGGCAGCAGATGAGCCACCTTGGTCACCACTGACTCCAGCCTGAGTGAGGATGGAGCAGAGTGCGGGGAGGAAGAGCCATTCACAGGTGCAGGGAGTGCTCTGTGCTATTGAGGAAGACCAGATGACTCTTRGTTTTATTTTTACCCCAGAGTAGGCCTGAGAGAGGTGTTTATCCTCTGGGAATGCATAGCATGCTTGAGAGCACWGYTCCTTTGGGATCTGTTGATCCATGMTCTTTACTGGTGTGGAGAGGCTGCCTGGGGGAACAGCATTAATCATATGGGAAGGTCTCTGACTGGAACAGCAGTGACCTTGGCAGTGGAAGGTTAATGTTTGGTGTGTGGGGAAGTCAGACTGAACCAAGATAATAACTGTAATGGTGTAACAGGTGCTGAGTTCTTAAATGGTAGATCTTGCAAGTAAACAAATGACTTGGCCTTCATTCCTCCATGTTTATGGATTCAGGGAGTGTGTGAAGGGAAGAGAAAAGGTGTGAAGTAGAGTCCAAACATAGCAGTAGAAATTCACAGTGTCCTAAATGTAAATATTGTCTTAGCTGCATTGAGGGCTCAGGTTCCAAACACCGTGCAGCAATATTCCTGTGAAAGGAATGGTTGCTTTGCAGTGTGCCATTAAAATCTGAACACACACAGTGGGAGATTAAATAAATAACTTTAAGCCTTTGCTGTAATTAATTTACAGAAGCAGGATTAGAATTTGTTACCTTTGGGAACTTGTTGTATCTATTTCAGTGTTTCTGTGTAATGCCAGTCCTCTGTGGGTTTTTTCTTTTGTGTTTAGTTTATCAGCTCTTTAAAATCAAAGACTCCTGTTATTGGCAAGGAAAAGATGTGAATGTCACTGTGGGCTGATAATAGMTGAACATACCARTCATCTGTTTTGCTYGAGCATTGTGTGRTAGTCATTAAAAATCTGATGATGTRTTTTAATTCTTTGACTTTCTTCTCAGCAAAGGAAAGTACTTTGTTACCTTTCCTTACCCCTACATGAATGGCCGCCTGCACCTGGGACACACGTTTTCCTTATCTAAATGTGAGGTAAAAGTTCTTTGCTGATACCTTTAAATACTRCTCTAGAACAAATGCTGGTTTTGTTATTCAGTTTTGAGCTAACAGGATGCCTTGTCAATTCCTTTAAAACTTCATTAATGACTTATTAAACTTTCCTTTTTTCCCATATTTTCAGTGGGAATATTTCTGGCTGATGGGAAATGCCATTCATGTCTTTTTTTTATCTGATGAGATTAAGCTGCAGGTGTTTCCTCCGTTTGTTCTTTCAAATGAGATTTTTAGGAGGTGCTGCTAAATGGGTCAAACTTCACAAGAGATCTGTCCCTTTTGTTTGTGCTTGCTGTGCTCTGTGCCTCTGTGTGTGGGAGCAATTTTTGGGTGCTGGTGGGTAGGATTCCACACCATTGCTCTTTTTGCACCCGTTGGTTTCTGGTCAGAGGCAGCCTGGAAGCTGGGCACTCCCGTGCCTGTGCAGCTGCAGTGGGGTAGGACTGGGAACAAGCTCTGTTCTCACCTTTCTGCCATGAATTCCCTCCCCAGCTGTGTGTCTGTGCTCACCTGTGTGTCAGGAGCTGTGTGTTAAAGCAGAAATCACCCTGGGTTTGAGCAGGTGCCAGTCCTGTTTCAGCTGTGCCATTTCCCTGTCTGTAGTTCGCAGTYGGGTACCAGAGGCTGAAGGGGAAGAGCTGCCTGTTTCCCTTTGGGCTGCACTGCACGGGGATGCCCATCAAGGTGAGAGCTTTGCACTTGCTGGGGGCTGTCTCTGATGGGGTTTTTATCCCTAAGGCTGCCTGGAGCCTTGCTTACTGTCCATCCCCAATATCACCTTAGTTTRTTTAAAAATTCATCGGGACAGCGTGCTTTGGAACCTGAATTTGTAATGAAGATGTGTTGTGCTTGAACTATAACACCACTTTCTAGAAGATAAAGTGCTGTAAAACTAAATTTTACTTGTATGTTTTCCTTTGCAAGAAARTCCTCACAGTTAAACCTCTTCCGGCCCTGGAAGGTGTTTTGAAAGTKGCAGGATCTCCTAGATGTTAATGCAAGGTCCAGAAAAAGTTTMAAGCACTTAATGCATGGAATGTAAAATCTTACCAGTAAAACCCACTCTTTGGCTGTGATTGCAACTGATGCCCCAGAGAAATGCTGACATTCTCCCAATAACTCTGTTCAGGCTTGTGCAGATAAGCTGAAAAGAGAAATGGAACTGTATGGTTGCCCACCAGAATTTCCTGATGAGGAGGAGGAAGAGGAAGAAAATTCTGGTAAAAAAGAGGAAGAAATTATCATCAAAGACAAAGCAAAAGGCAAAAAGGTAAAGTTTAAACCAAGCCTCTTTGGACTGAGAGCACTGAGTGTGCAATGTAGGCCTTTCCTCCTTTGGGCTCAAACCTTGATACAACGATTTTTTTTTTTTTTCCAAAGTAGCTGAGTACCTTTAAGGTAGACTTGAAAAAAAATGCATGAACTGCATGGTTCCAGAGATACCATGTTAATGCAAGAACCCTTATTGGTAAGCTAATGCGCTGCCTAATAGTTTCCAGAGAAAAAACAGATCAGATCTGGAGTAATGCTCTCATTTTTTTCTCCATTTTTTTTTTCAGTCCTGTCACAGAACATTCATAAACAGGTTGTAGGAAATTGCYCTGCTTTCTCAGAGGTAGAGGATGAGTGTTCCTGCTGTTCTGATAATTGACTTTTAAGTTGGTATCTAGCCAAGTCTGTCTAGATAGGCTCAGTAAAACCATCCAAAGTATTTTTGCTTACCAGGTATTTAAATGAGATTTAGGATATTGGGAGTATCCCACAGTAAGCCAAAGAATCAAGTTTAGCAAAAGTTTAGAGATTTCTGTATGTTGTTTATGTATGCTAAAGAGATTGTCCTGCTGGCAGGACTGGGTTTGGGC